ACCCCCAGCCAAGGAGACAACGCTTCCCCTCTGAGGTGCCTGCATGCGCCCTGTCCCGGAGAACTCAGCAGCACACAGACACCGGGCTAGGAAGAGGGCGTGCCACAATGCTGCCGGGCGCTACCGAGCTCTTTCACTTCTCAAGGCTCTGGTGCAGGGCCGCCTTGAGATACAGTAAGTGCTCAATAAATTATGTGCTGCCGGCGCTAAGCTCACAGACCCCGTCTTTACAAAGAACAGAAATCGGTGCTGCGCGGGGACACCACGCACGTGGCATCAGCTCCCCCTGGTGGACCAAGGCAGAGCCGCGGGAGCCGCAGCAGGCCTCGCGGCACCCCGGGGCCCGGGCGGGGACTGCGCCCCGGCTGGCCCCGAAGGGCTGCTTGCTCAGAGGGCCCGAGGCAGCCGGAGCAAGGAGGAAGCAGCCCAAGAAGAGCCTGCACCGAAGCCGAGTACGCAGCGGGAGCGGCGGGTACCAGTGCCGTAGTCGATGCGCGTCGAGTTCCCCACTGACTCCTTCAGGTAAACGGCCACCTCAGGCACGGCAGCGGCCAGATGGGTGGGGACCACTGTGGCCACCAAGTTTTCCGCTTCCTGATAACACAAGAGACACAAAGTGGTGGCAGCAGATTAGGCAGTATCCTGGTGGCGGGCACCCAGGAGCAGCATCTGGCTGGGGCCCGGTTGGCCACGCCAGGCCGGCCTGGCTCCCTGCTCTGACCGAAAGCTGAGGAGGGAGACACTGACCCTTACGCCACAGAGCCACCACCCCGGGGTGGCTTTTCGTCCGCTGGCCCTTCCTCCAGGGGACAAGGGTCTGGGACGAGATGGGAGGGAACTGCAAAGAAGCCATTCAACTCCCCCATCTGGTAACTCGCCCACGTGCCTACAGACACCGTCTTTCTTCACAGTCCCAGGATAACAAGAATGTGTGCCATATATCCACCCAAACGTGCAGACGAGAACGTTCACAGCAGCATTATTCATAGTAGCCCAAATGTGGGAACAAGCCTCCACCGAAATGCCCACCGACCACAGACCGTGGTGCAGTGAGGTGCCGGAACACGACACCGCAAGGCAAACGCTCTGCTGCTCCCCACAACATGGGGGACTCTCGGAAACAGAACGCTGAGCAAAAGAAGTCAGACGTTTATAAGAAGTTCAAAAACAGGTAACACTGATCTACGGGACGGAAAGCGGAAGAGTTTGCGGGAGGATATCAACTCGAAAGGGGCACCGGGGCCCTGCCGGGGTACTGGGAAGTTTTAGAGCTTGATACAGGTGGGAGTGCAAGGGCCAAACATATGCTAAGATCCAGCCAGCCGCACAGCTGTGAGACGTTCACTTTCCTTTAAGTTTTAACTCAATAAAAATCTTTTAAAAAAGACCCTGTGCCCTCAGAGTCCAGAGGCAGCCCCAGGCTGCTCTTAGGCAGGGACAGCATTCTGCTGGGTCCCTGGGGCTCCCCTCTGCTCCAGGCGGAAACACTGGGCCAGAGAAATGAGGACCCAAGCTTCTCTAGGTTCAGTCTATAGATACCTGGCAGGAAAATCTCCTGGAGACCTGGGAAAATCTGGATTCCTGGGCCCCACCCTAGACCTACAGACTGCTTTTCTAAGAACAGGGCCCATGATCCTGCATTTTTATTTTTTGCTTGCTTTGAACAGGTATCACTGCTATAGGATTCAAAAATAAAGACATTAAAAAAATAAAAATACACTGAATTCTACTCCAGAAACCAATATTGCACTGAATATTAACTACCTAAATTTAAATAAAAATTAATAATTTAAAAAATCAAGAAAAAGAAGCGCAATACTAAATTCTTTGGGATTTGCCAAGAAAATATCGAAAAGTAAAAACGTAAATAAATACACACATTACAAACGGGATGCATTGAGAAGTTTCTGTCCCCTTCCCCACTCTCCCCCGCCCTCAGAGAAGTCACAGCTTTATTAGCCTCTTGTACATCCTTCCAGTGATGTTTCCTTATGCAAACTGAGCAGCACAAACATATCTTTTCATTTTTCCCTCTTTCCTACCAAAAAGTAGCTCGCCATGTGTCAGACCCCAGGTTCCTCTTTAACTGAACAATAAATCCCAGACCACCTTCCCCCAAGCTCCTAGCGGGCTCCTAGTCTTTCTCATAGCTGCATAGCACTCCAGGTTAGATCTACTAGTCTATCTGACCGATCCCGTGCACATGGACACTTGGGACATTTGAATCTGTTGCTAATGCAAACGATGACCTAATTAACAGCCCCATGCAGAGGACTGGGCATCCATAGTGGCGATTCCCAGAAGATGGTGGGGGCAGAGGGTAAATGCATTTGTACTTTTGGTAAATGGAATCGCCATTTTAATAAACTCCCCAGTGATTCTGAGATGCCTGAAAGCTCCTGCACCCCCTGGCCCAGCCCCCAAGCATGTCCTGTGGCAGCCTCACCTCGTCGAGTTTGGCATACCAGGTCCTGTAGGCCTTGTTCCCAAATCGAGAGGGCTGGTCCACCGGAGGGGTCTCATCAATCCACCTGTCCAGCGTGTTGAGAAGGGTGACCAGTTTCTCAATGGCCTGTAGTAAGCAAAATAGAGGGGGCCAAGCACAATGATTAGTGGCCCCCATCTAGAGCCACAGAGGGAAGTCCCAACTGCTGCTGGACAATGACCCATAGGCATGGCATTAGTGGTAAGTGCTGGGGAGATCACACACTCCTACAGGATCAAGTTTTTAAATCCAACTGTCTGGGGGCACCTGGGTGGCTCAGTGGGCTAAGCGTCTGCCTTCAACTCGAGTCATGATCTCAGGGTCCTAGGATCGAACCCCGTGTCGGGCTCCCTGCTCAGTGGGGAGTCCACTTGTCCCTCTCCCTCTGCCCCTCCCCCCATTCATGCTCCCTCGCTTTCTCAAAATAAGTAAAATCTTTAAAACACGGGCCCCGGGGCACACATTATTTTGCAGCCTGCTCAATTTCCTCATGAGCCTCATTCCACATCAACATGTAAACATAATTTTACAACAGCCTTTAGTAAGCTAATAGCATCTCATTGTGCCAACATACTATAATGTTTTACCTAATCCCTCCCTGTTAAATATTTGGGTTATTCCCAATTGTTCCTTCCCACAAACAATCTGGGCAGCCCCCACCTGCAGAACTGCTGGATCAGAGGTCCGAACCTGTGTAATGCTTTGCAAGGGCCACAGCGTCGGGGAGCCAATCTCCCTACACCTTTCCCACAGTAGGCAGGAACCAAGGAGTGGGATCGGTGCCACAGGCCAGGGCAACGTTAGCACACAGCATGTTACTCAATGAGGAAATAGGTGAGGCTGATGATCCAAAACACAGGTCTGGAAGGGCAGCTAGAAAAGGACTCCTGGGTGTGGCTTGTAAAAAAAAAAAAAAAAAATTGGCCAAAAAAATAAAATAAATAAATAAAAATTAAAAAAATAGGCCAGGGGCGCACGGGTGGCTCAGTCGTTAAGGGTCTGCCTTCGGCTCAGGTCACGATCCCAGAGTCCTGGGATCAAGCCCCCTCCCCGCTCCCCGCATTGGGCTCCCCGCTCTGCAGGGAGCCTGCTTCTCCCTCTCCCACTTCCCCTGCTGGTGTTCTCTGTCAAATAAATAAATAAAATCTTAAAAAAAAAAAAAAGGCCAAAACGAAAGGCTAGCGGAAGGCACAAGGCAGAGAGAGGATGTTCAGAGGCAGGCAGCCCTGGGAGAGAAGACCTTGCCAAGAAGCAGGTTTTGCCTGTGTCTACTGGGCACGAACAGCACAAAGAGAGACCTCCAAGAACCCCTGACACTGGGTCTGACCTAGCAGGGTGGTGCCCACATAAAAAGTTGTGAGGACGAAGGCAAGGCTCAGTCGAGTCCACTGCTGCATTGCGCAGGCTCCGTACAGGAGCGGTCCAAGAGCTGTGCGGGGAGGGAGGTGAACTTGAGCTAATGGAATACCTATCAGCCAGTGCCCACCCCCACAGAGCTCCAGGAGGCACAAATCACACCAGACCATGTAAACGGCGCCTTGTGCAACGTGACAACGGCCTCAATGTTGCCATCCCTCACCTCCCCTTCCTCTATGCTTGGGGTGCAAGAGCGAGCAAAAGTTACCTGTAAGAGGGGAAATCTCCCTGTACACCTGGCTGAGGCAAAGGGCCCGGGTGACATAAAGCTGCCCAGCTGAAATGTGAGACAAAGTGCTGCCAGCTTTGTGAAGAACCAGGTCACCAGGAACTGATCAGGACAGAGCAAACCTGACCCCATGCAGCAACTGAGACTCAGGAGTGATGAGGCAGTAATCCCAGGCCCAGGAAGCACCAGCCAGGACCAATTCCCTGACGATCTCAGTCTTGGGCAAGGCGCTGAAGGGGATAAAGAAGGTGCGGGGAGGCCACGTAAGCCAGGCCCCAGCTGCCAGCTCAGCTGGAGAAATGAATAATTAAAAGGCTCCTAGCTCCTCTTTCTGGAGAGGGCTTTTTAGAATGCAGGGGCTGCCTCTATTGTCTGACTGGCTGGGGCAGAGGGGTTTGGGGGGGCTCCCCTGCTGTGGGCCAAACCCTCAGGAAGCACAAATAGTAATTTGAACTACCCTCCAGCTCCCTAAACCAGTGCTTCCTTTCGGATTTCATGGACCAGTAAAATTTTCTCCAAACCATTACTTGCCAGCGTTTTCTTTGTCTTTGCCCCCAACTTAAATAGGAAACAGAACAGCAAAAAAATAAGGTTCTTATCTACCCACATTTTGCAAAACCCAAAAATTTGAACCCCCAAACATTAAGACAGATATAATCTCAAACTGCAGAAGAGCCTTCTAAACATGGGTCTAGACAGTCTCACCACATTGCCCTTGCTTGTTCCCTTCGCTGCTGGTCTGGAAGCTGCCACCTAGGGCGGCTCTGTCTGCCCTCTCCCCAGCTGCCATCCCTGTAGGAGGAGGCAGGCGTGAGAGGAAGCGGGATCCCCAAGCAGCTGTGCCGGGGCCTCCCCGCATCTGCGGGCTGAGACCACATGCTGTGAGCCCTGCCTTCTGCTGCCCTGCCAGCCATGGGCAGAAGCTGGGAGACCTCTGGAGACCAAACTAGTCACCTCTGCCCACCAAGTGATCACCCTGGCACTGGGATGAAACCCAGCTCAGGAAGCACCCTCAACTGAAGCAATCACACCACTACTGGAGGTCAGAACTGAAAAACAGCTCATGATAACAGCTAATAATGATAAAGACATCCAGTATGTACCAGGTACTGTCCTAACAAGCCTACATGTAGGATCCCACTGACTCCTCCCCAGGGGCCATGAGTCGGTCTGCCAGCTCTGTCACTCAACAGATGAGGAGATAGAGGGTCAGAGGGGACGAAGCCACTCAGCTTGGAAGGGAGAGATTATCCAAACCTAGTCAGCCTGACTCCAGAACCCAAGCACTTAACCATGCTGCAATCCTGCCAAGAGAACAGCTCCTGAGCTAAGACAACACCTGGCCAGCGTGGAGTCTACCATCAAAGCGTGAGCGGATATTACTGGACCTCAGGATCTGCTGGGGTAATTAGAACACCCCCCTGTAATTAGCCTTCCCCCGCCACACTCCCTGCCCACTGAGGACAGCCGAGCCTCCCTCTCCACAGGCTCAAGGACAAGCCCTCTCTCTCCCAACCCACAAACTCAATGGTGGGCCAGCCCCCAAGAGAAGGAGGTCTATCCCCAGCACAGGTCTGGCTCCCCTCTGGTGATAGAACAAGACCTCAGCCACCCCACAGCCAGTTGGGGCCCAGGAAGAGGCAGCTCTCCTGAGGCGGGGTATGAGGGACAGGTGGAGAGACCGGGCTGCGACAGGGCCAGGCCTTATCCAACAGGGTGGGATAAGGCACTGAGAGGCAGCTCAGGCCCTGGTGTCTGAGATAAGAGTCTCAAGGTGACTGTGAGCCAACTGGGAGAGGAACCCAAGAGGCCACTGGAGGCTTGGGACCCAGCCCTTGGAGATGGCATCCAGCAACAGCAAATAGCCTGCAAGCCCACACCTCCCCACAGCTCTTGTCCTTTCTCCACCAACAACTTATCTCCAGAAGAGCAGCCAAAGAGCGTCCACCCTGCAGTGCATGCCCTCAACTCAGCATCCCCACTTCCAGGAATGATTCCTCAGGAAAGAGCACCCACAGATCTATATGTAACGATGTTCAGAGCAGCGACATTTAGGGACACAACCTCAAAGTCCACACTTAGGGCTATTTAAACAAATGAGGGCCGGTTCAATGAGGCTGCCATTTACACAGTGGAGGGGCAGCAGGAGAGGAGGAGCTCAGAGGGCAGGTCTGGGTGACGTTCCCCAAACTGTTCCTGGGGCCGCCCCAGGGAGCTGGGTAGGAGGGGAAAGATAGGGAGAGGTCAGCTTTTTGTTAATACATTTCAGTGAAGCACACTTACTTCATTTATAATCTTTTTTCATTTAAAAAGGTACATAAAAACACCAGTTAGCAAAAATGCAGGCTATAAAACAGCATATTTACCTTGATCCCAATTTTATAAATATACATCTACTGACAAATTGGAAAAAAAAAAAAAAAAAGATTAGAAATACAAACACCAAGAAGGGCCTGGGTGGCTCAGTCTTGGTTTCGGCTCAGGTCATGATCTCAGGATCCTGAGATGGAGCCCGGCCAGGATCCAGCCGCCAGGTCAGCTCTGCGCTCAACGTGGAGTCTGCTTGTCGCTCTCCCTCCCCCCACTCACGCGCATGCTCCTTCCCTCTCTCTCTCTAAGAAATAAATATTTTTTATT